CCCAGCCGTCCAATCGCAGTGGAGGAGGGGCGGGGCTAAGACCACACCGACCAACTGTCACAACATTCTTTCTGTACAACGACATCACCCAGCAGATCTAACCCAACAACACGGATGAAAAATACATTTATGAAACAAATTATCAGCGAAATAATTTACAAGCAAACTGTGCTGCGGATATTCTGTATCATAGCAACGACACGTCTCAACGGACAAAACGCTCTCCAGCGCCACAGCTCGGCGTCTTCAGCAGAGCGTTTTCATCTACTATAATCGCTCTGGTGGACACACACCTTACACTCCTGAAACTGTACACTAGGGGACCATGATGACGAGCATAACCGATTGAAATAAAATGCTAATTGTGGCGTGTGTCGTAGTGCGTTTACGAAACAGCAGAGGCAGTGTTTGCTGGGATGAGTGCGCTGTGTGTTTCAGAGTGAAGCGAGGCAGTGTGTTCGTCCGCACGCGAGCGGCTCAATGTACACACACACACACACACTCATATCTGCCTCATCCGAGCCGCTCCCAGGATAACCGGTTATCCGTGCCATCACTGTTCACACACTCTCTCTCTCTCTCTGACACACACACACACACTCTCCGGTCTCCTGCCAGTGAGGAAAGGATGAGACGTCTCCTGTTTGGACACTGTTGCACATTTCCTTTGATGGAGTTTTATCCGTCTAATATTTTCCAGGACTCGGAGTCGGACGTGTCGGAGTGGAGGAAGAAGAGTCGCCTCACGCCGTCAGTCCAAACCTTGAACAACACAGTGTTTCTGCGACATCATAATACACTTATGAAACATGCAGAAACACACATCTGACCGAACACACACACACAGGAACGTCAGTTTTCATGGGAGCGTCCGGAAATATTGGCCTTCACATTAATACAGCTGGCTTTAATTATTTGGTCTCTTAACTGGAGAAATGCAGACAGTCGATTCTGTTCTGCTCACGAATGGTGATCTCCATCCTCTGCTAATGCAAAGCCAAAGAATAAGAGGAAGTTGTTTTTACGATATGGTAAGAGTTTAGCAGGCTAATTACTTTCCGCTTAACATCACTAAATCAGTCCGAAATCCTGACGAGAAACCCTGAACAAACGTGATTGTGTGATCGTCAGACAAACTACAGCTAGAGTTTAAACATGAACCAAAACTTTGAGAAAGAAACAAGTGTTCTGTTTACACAATAAATAAATAACAATTAATAATGGCTGAAAAGTTATAACCACCACAGTTGTTACTGACACATAAAACACTTAAAATTAAGGCTTTTTTATATAAACAACCAATACAAGGTTAGACTATTATAGTGGTTTATTAGTCTTAAAGCATCATACGTCTGGTGGAAGAACACTGCAGCCGGATCTACTTCTGTGACGAGTCACGCAGGAACTGTGTCCCTCCACAGCAAAACAGTTTGGGAAATAAATTCATGATGTACTCGCCTATCAAATACATCTTCTACATTTTGAACTGCAGCTTTAATAACTTGTCAGGATACTTTACAGCTAAATAAAGCTTTGTGGATCCATGGATCGCAATGATGGATCCATTATGAATCTTTAACATCCATTTTCACTAAGAAAAACATGGTTCATTTAAGAACTATCACATTTTGATGAGAAGAAACCCCTCATCTGGCACTATAAGAATGCCTCGATTAATCAGGCTACAGCCATATACCAGCAGAGCCAGACTGACAGAGGATCAGATGACACCAGGATACTAAGATATAAAGCAGCCCAGCTATCTGTGGATTATTAGGACACCATGACACAGAAAAGCCAAAGGGTAGATCTGGTCAGGATTTACCCAGAGAGTCTGAACCTCAAATCAGCATCTCATCCAACAAGATGTTGCCTTTCCCAGTACAGCGGTTTTCCCAGAAGAACTGAAGATCGGTCGAGAGCTGCTGGCCCTCAGGCTGTTTTCATGCGGCTTCACGTGTTGAACAATTCTTCAACCGTAGGATCCATTACAGAAGGTCGGCCTTCCTTCCTGCGGTTAATGCAAGCTGTCAGCATCCACACTCGAGCCGATCCTGAAGTTACGGAGATAAGTGACTATAATACAAACTAAACAAGAACAGAGGAACCAAAGCTACAGGAAATCACATCTGAATCTCTCTGAGCTGGGTTACAGCTGGATATACTGTACAGAGATATGGAGAACACGACTGAATCTCTCTGAGCTGGGTTACAGCTGGGTTAAAGCTGGATATACAGAGATATGGAGCTGGGTTAAAGCTGGGTCGGTGTGGTATAAAGAGCTCTAGAGGAAATGTGTTTGAGTCCAGGTAGATTCTCCTCAATCACATTTAACCGGCACATTAAAAAACCCCAGCCATGAACCGAAGTGAAGCCGCCTCTGACCAGTGGTGGAATGTAACGAAGTACAAATACTTAGTTACTTTACTTAAGTACATTTTTCACGTATCTTTACTTTACTTAAGTAGAATAAATAGTGCATACTTTTTACTTTTACTTCGTTACATTTTGCAGCAATTATTATACTTTCTACTCCACTACATTTCTACAACTTCTGTTACATTTTCTGATCAGTTTTTCCCCGGCCAAAATCGTAATCTGACCGTCCGTCCGTTGCACGTTTGTCTCACCAGTGACGTTTGGTTGCCATAGATACATCAACTAAATGCGTCTCGCACGCGGTGTGTTTATCGTGCAATTTATACGCGAAAATTTGTTTTTACGTGCATAGGAAATGCACCGTGTGTAATATACGTTTGGTTAGGATTATGGCAAGCCAAGAGGTTCAGAATAACACCATAAATTAATCGTGTCTACTGCCAAACATAGTTATTAATATATAGTAAGGAAAAGCATGATGTGTATATTGCCTAATTGCAAGCTTGTTTCAGAAATGGTGACAACAATTTTTTTCCATCATTATAGGAGTATTAGGTTGAATGAGTTAGAATTAAATGTTTTATTAATCATTAGAAAATAGACATTAAGAGAATCAATTGTTATGCAAGTACTTTTACTTTTAATACTTAAAGTACATTTAAAATCAGGTACTTTTTACTTTTTACTTAAGTATGGTTGTCATTGTGTTACTTCTACTTTTACTAAAGTAAATATTTATCTGGTTATTTGTACTATTTGAGATTCAGTACTTCCTCCACCACTGCCTCTGACACAGCAGGAGAACAAACAGTTTGAGCATCAAACAAACATTAGAATTAGAAAAGCAGCTGCGCTCACACAATACATTCACAGAAGGGTCGTTTCCGTGGCAACTGCTCTATTATTGTGTTTACAGCAGGAGATGGAAATATTTGTCCCAAATCAGTCCGTCTGCAGGATGATTCGTCTTTATATACTACAGTTCGTGTGAAACCTGAATCACAGAAGATCTCCGGAGAGCAATCTCTCTAGCATACTGTAGTTCACAGAAAACTAAACTTTTGTCATTCTCTTACTCACTTTATTCCAAACCTGTGTGAATTAGCGTTTTTTTGTCCATACAACGAAAAGCCAAGGGAATCTAAAACAGCCTTAGACTTTGATTGATTGGACAATATATATAAACATCTATCTTTGAGTCCCCCGTGCGATATGAAGGTGATGACAGAATCCGGCTGAACTGCCTGCATACGGTGTAATGTGTCAGACTTCAGCAGGAATTGCAGGGTTATTGAAGCCAAGCCATTCCTCAAAACATATTAGGTTGATCATGAACACAAACCGAGGTCAGGAATGCAGTTCTTTGGCAGTGAGAATGAACAGCTCTGCATTATTTTACAGATGGAGCACAATACAGCTTTTGTGGACATGATGTCATCCTTAGGGAAAGATAACTCCACCACTGGTCATAATGGCAGATTTGACCCAACAGGGGAACTGTGCCAACTATCTGTCACCTTCTGTGACCTTGAGCTCCTCATAAAACTATGAGCCTCACCTGCATACAGTACGTCTAAAACTGTTAAGGAGAACTATATAGCAACTTTCTGCATTAAATCAACAGAAAGATGTATGGACATCATAATAAATTATGAAGATGGCCAATCAAATCAAAGAGGGCGGGGCTTAACTGTGTGAAAGAGTATGTCCTAAAAATGTAATATCAACTGTTTTGCAACAGAAACTCCAGATAGCAAACTGACATTGAATCAACGTGGAAATATAAAACAACATTGTTTTGCTCATCGAATTAACGTTGAACCGACGTCAGACGCGTCATTCTTTCAAAACTAACGGAAAATCAACTTGAAATCAACGCGTTGTTTCAACGTTATGAAAGCAAACCAATATTCGATTTTCATTTAACTTTGAAGAATGCCGCGTCTGACGTTGGTTCAACGTTAATTCGATGAGCAAAACAATGTTGTTTTATATTTCCACGTTGATTCAATGTCAGTTTGATTTAATTTTCAATTTAAGTTTTGATTCGTTTTCACAAATCGATTCAGTCGAAGGTTGTTTCAAAGAATCGCTTCGAAAAACAGATTATTTCCCGTCATAACGGATCCCATGACGTCAGGTTCACACAGTTCAACAATAATTTAGAAACTTCAAACTTTACATTAAACAATAATACTAAACAATTTTTGCATCTGTTGGCTAAAAAAAATAGCTCACACATTTTTGGACGCTATAAAATGCTGAACCTCTTATTAAAATCAACTCTGTTTCGATTCAGTCAACTCTTAAACATTATATGTGTAACATTTCTGCTATTAAAGTAATGATCTTTTCGACCCATCAAATGTCCCTGTGCTCTTCCTAATCATGTTGTCAAGCCAGAAAACCAGCGTTTGGTTCCTTTAGGACAGATTCAATAGACACGATTCATTCTCCGCTTCAGATCGGCACTGCGAATGCGAACCGGTTCGACAGATCCGACTCAAAAGACTCAAAAGAACGAGTCGTTTGCTAATCGGACATGCCCACCTCTAGCCGTCTTTCTGCAGCTTATACATTAGTGTAACACATGAGCCCAAATTAATGATGCTGTGCCATACCTGGGTGAAGGGAGAATGCGCGCGCAGGGGGACAGCTGACAGTGATGAAGATGAAGATCCTCCAGCTCCAGACTCTGCTGATCAGAAATAAAGATGAAGATGAGCTGAGGCCAGAGGATTCTCAGAATGAAGTGAATGAAATATGAAGCACATGCACAGGACAGGTCAGTCACCTGAGCACTGAGGCGCGTGCACGAGCCATTTCCGTGGTCCAGGAGGTGTTCGTGTCTCGTGTCCCGTCAGAGACTGTGATCACACACACAAACACACACTCTCTCTCTCTCTGCTTTCGGACTGATCTAGAGCAGCTCCACGTGAACAAAGGCAGTCTCAGTTCGGACCCTGAAATACGACTCCGGCTCCTCCTCTCTCACACACACACACACACATTCAGACCTAACACACACATCATCTGTGACTCGTCGGCTCTTCTAGAGTGAGTCTGGCACAGCAGCTTGTGCTTCAAAAGAATAATTAGAGACACAAGTAAATGTTTATGGATATCATTGCATCAGTTGATAAAATATTAACCCATGTGTTTTTTGCAAACAAAACCTGCAGAAGCTTTACTCAAATCAAACTCATATGTTGTGTCTGTGTGTGTCTATTTTAGATGTAAATTCAATTTTTTTTAGTTAATCTGAAGTTATTAATCTATACAAAGTAAATTAATAAACGAAAATAATAAATGGGATAAACTCATGCTGAGTAAAGGGTAAAATGCTAATAGACCTATTATTATTTTTTATAGCTAGTATCTTCCCTACATTATTAATATTATTTAAAATAAAAAAGTAATAACCTTTTTTAAACCTTGGTTTGGTATAATATAAAGATCAATATTTAATTGTTTAAGAATTAAGAAATTTTAAAAATGAAGAAAGTTTGACTAAAATAGAAGAATCAGTTGAGCGATGACTGCGAGTTAAAGACGTTTAAGAGTGAGGGATTGACAGATGGACATTATGAACACCATCATCATGATTCTCTTCTGCAAACATGTTCAATCATCATAAATCATGATGTCAGAGAATCATGTGAAGTCCTTCATCAAGATCTATTATCACGTGTGTCCAGAAGTCACGTGTGTGTTTGTGTCCAGAAGTCTCGTGTGCGTGTTGTGTCAAGAAGTCACACGTGTGTGTCCAAATGTCACGTGTGCGTATCCTGACGTCACATGTGTGTCCAGAAGTCACGTGTGTGTGTCCAGAAGTCACGTGTGTGTGTCCAGAAGTCACGTGTGTGTGTCCAGAAGTTACGTGTGTGTGTCCAGAAGTCACGTGTGTGTGTGTCCAGAAATCACGTGTGTGTGTCCAGAAGTCACGTGTGTGTGTGTCCAGAAGTCACGTGTGTGTGTCCAGAAGTCACGTGTGCGTGTTCAGAAGTCAGGTGTGTGTGTCCAGAAGTCACGTGTGCGTATCCTGACGTCACGTGTGTCCAGAAGTCACGTGTGTGTGTCCAGAAGTCACGTGTGTGTGTCCAGAAATCATGTGTGTGTGTGTCCAGAAGTCATGTGTGTGTGTCCAGAAATCATGTGTGTGTGTCCAGAAGTCATGTGTGTATCCAGATGTCACATGTGCGAGGCTGGGCAATAATTCATATGATTTAGTTTGTATAATATCTGTCAATTTAAATCAAAGTTATGTAGTAATTGTCAGAGGATGTGTTAGCGAAGGACAGGGGTTTTCCAGGCGTTTCTCACTCCATCTACGGCAACAAACAGCAGATAAATGAGCCATAGCTTAAAGGACAACTCCGGCGCAAAATGAACCTTTGGTCTAATTACACATTGCTACCTAGTCAACCGTTATCTGAGATTTTTTTTTTCATGATTGCCGAATGTAAATAGTTTTATCTCTCAAAACAGTTTAGCCTATAACGCTAGTTCAATGCTAGTATATAGGGCATAGAGTAATGACAAATAAAAATCGCTTGTTATTACCACTAACAAGGCTCAAAATAGCCCCACACCAAAACGACAGCATAACAAGGGTCCCTACATTCAAACCGAAGCGTTGAGAACTTTGTCAGTGTCCATACAGTTTAATAAGACGATATTTTATACACACAGTAAATTTCGCGAATACAGGAAGAAGCCATCTTTGAAAAATAGTCTCTACCAGTCGATCTACGAACGCCGATCCAAGTGCGCTTAACTGTGCAGAATCTCATATGATCCGCTGTTTCCAGAAGAAACACAAACACAAACCGTTTACTTGTCTTCAATATGTACACGTAGCCTACTGTTCGCGCTCACCTTATCACCTTATTCACATCTCACCAGCGCACTTGGATCGGCGTTCGTAGATCGACTGGTAGAGACTATTTTTCCAAGATGGCTTCTTCCTGAATTCGCGAAATTTACTGTGTGTATAAAACATCTTCTTATTAAAACTGTATGGACACTGACAAAGTTCTCAATGCTTCGGTTTGAATGTAGGGACTCTTTTTATGCTGTCGTTTTGGTGTGGGGCTATTTTGAGCCTTTTTAGTGGTAATAACAAGCGATTTTTATTTGTCATTACTCTATGCCCTATATACTAGCATTATACTAGCGTTATAGGCTAAACTGTTTTTAGAGATAAAACTATTTACATTCGGCAATCGTGAAAACAAATCTCAGATAACGGTTGACTAGGTAACAATGTGTAATTAGACTAAAGGTTCATTTTGCGCCGGAGTTGTCCTTTAAACATAAATACATGTTTGTTAAAATATAACTTAAATGGTATATGGAGCATCAAAAGGTAAGTAAGTAGTTAATGTTCTTTCTCATTCAAAACAAAAAGAACAGAAACCCAATAAAATGACCATAAAATAACTATATAATAATAATGCGCTGAATTCCAACAGATCTGAAGGTTTCAATAGCGAACGGACTGAAGCGACGAGGCCATTCTGTCACCGCAGCTCTCGTGGCAAACGCATCACAGTAAACCGCTCAAGGGGAGGTTATCTCGCCATACATCACTACACTATCAGAAACAGTCAGCTGGGGGAAACGCTGTGTGTGTGTGTGTGTGTGTACATTACACTGGCTGATAACAGACCTGAGAGCAAACAGGCGGATGGAAACATGGCAAATGATCCTGCACTGGTACACAACTTTAATTCAAAGCTTTCAGATGAGTTCAAAAGAACCGACACACACACACACACACACACAGAGAGTCCCTAAGGAAGGATGATGTTTGGGTCGACTGTGGCTCGGGTTAGTCAGGGGAAAGGAGTCTGTCTCAGTGTGAGGAGAGACCTCGATCAAACACTGACTGGATATCTCTCAGACTCGTTTACCTCTCGTCCATCATCACGCTGAGACAACAGTGAGATAACAGTGAGATTACAGTGAGATTACAGTGAAATTACAGTCAAATTACATTCCTGTACTGATATAGCGGCGTCACGGATCCTGATAAGTCACGCAACCCTGATCCTTGAGTGTTCGAGTGTTTCGTGTGTTCAAATTTTTCGAGAGTTTCGAGTGTTTCATGTGTTTTGGTTGTGACGTGTGGTTTGAGTGTTCGAGTGTTTCAAGTGTTTTGTGTGTTTTGAGTGTGTTGTGTGTTTTGTGTCATGGATGCTGCTTGTCGGTTCCAGGTTAAAGTGTCTGTCTGCTAACTCGGCGCCGATCAACACTTGACTTGAGCTGCAAGTCATCGCATCTGCGACGCAGAACATCTGCAGGGAGATTTTGCAATTACTGGCACAGTCTCATGGGTTTATTTCTCAAAAGCAACAAATATGTTGAGGCAGCTCCAACTATTTTCTCACTCTTAACACAAACATATATATATATATATATACAGTATATTTATATATATACAGTATATATATATATATATATGTTTAGTTCTGGACCCTGGCTGGAGTCAAAACCCTCCGTTTCTGAAAGTCTTCGAAACTAAATTTCCTTTTAATCATCAAACTATTTTGCTGAGCGCATGTGGCAAGGCCTTCTGGGATTGAGAAAGTAGGTTAACTTGCTGGAGGAACGATCTCCATGGCAATATGGTGTTGTTGTCTGAAAATACAGAGAAGAGGATCATGGGATTGAAGCTCCGGGTCCGGTGTGACTCAGTCCTGAGAATCTGATGCATTCTGTGACTCCACAGATCTGTATTGGGAAACACATTTTAAAGAGATGTTTTAGAGGTCATTCGGGTCATTTAAAAAAAAAAAATGTAAAAAGAATTGTGTGAAAAAATAACATTAAAAGAATATACTTAAGTCACATTCAATTTCATTCATATCTGTCACAAGGCTTACAACAGACTAAATGAGAAACTTCAAACACAATATTAAATAAGAGTTAAGGCCAATTTATACTTCTGCGTAGGGTGCGCGCAGTAGGTACGGCGTAGCATACGCACAGACGCGTCCCATACCGCGTACCCTTCCGCGTTGCCTGACGCGCACCTCTTCAAAAATGTAACTACACGTCGCGACGACGCGGACCGCAAGATCGGTGATTGGTCGGATTGGTAGCGTCGTATTTCCTCATACTCATTTCCGCACGTACCTTCTCACGCATTTCCACACGTACCATCTCCTCCGACGTCTTCTCTCATTTCTGCCTTTCAGTTTTAGTAATTTCACTAAAATGAACTGTTTTTTCACCCCAATAAGCTCCAACTCCAACATGATCCACTCTCTTTCAGTCGCTATTGCTTGTAGTAACCTAGCCGCGAGAAATCTAAACACAGTGGAACATTAAAACCCTCCGCCGCCTCCTAGCGTTTCGGAGCAGTACTGCAGAGCAACCAAGACCTGAACGCAGAAGTATAAATGCTCACAACGGCGTCGCCTACGTGCGAAGCCAACGCCGTACACTACGGCGTACCCTCGACGCAGAAGTATAAATTGGCCTTTAGAATAAACGCAGGTACAGTAACAGTAGACGGGACACGGACTTCCAAACACGGCTAATTAATTAAACACAGCTGAACCAACAAACTCATGATGATGGTAACCATGGAAACAAAGGAAGACAGAAAACGACTGAATACAAACTAAAAGTCCATGAATACTAAATACGACATTTTCGCATGTGAAAAAATAAATACAGCTTCACGTTATGTCAATCGCTCTTGCACACTACCTCCAAAACTTTCGTCCGTCGTTAAAAAAAATCGATCAGATTTTCTGCGTTTTTCACATCCGTAGCAAGCAGTTTGAATGATGTTTGAGGGTGTTTTGACAATTCAGAGCCGCTGAATCACGAATATGAAAGAACGCATACGAAAATTTTGGACTCAGGGCCTTTACCCTCGATGAGCAGCAGACTTCTGCCCGACAGCCACGGTTACGTCACCAAGGGTGCACGTCTCTTTCACAAGCATACAAATGAAACTATGATGGCCTTCAAGACACAAGTGAAGACTTGAAAACAACAGCCGCCAATAATACTGACAATACATCGAGCAAATCCTAATCAATCATCGTTTGACTTCATCTGAAGCTGGAATCACGTGTGTGGCCGTTTAAGTGAGAGGCTTACTTTAGCTTCGGCCGACTCCTGTCGTGTGCTGAGATTACAACAGAGGAACTTGATGAGCTCAGTCTTTGATCAGACCACACACACACACACACACACACACACACACTGACACACACACAGGCATTGTGTTCTCAGCTGCCACTGATTCAACAGAGAGCTTTACATCAGCGCTGACAGATCTTCCTCTCAAAGTTTACTGAAGAACTTTATTGATTTACTAATTTAGCTTGAACTATAGAAAGCAAACTTTTGTTTTTGGTACTTAGACAATCAGTATGGAAGAAAAAAACACACCCAGATCAGACAGAGCACACATCGAGTGTTAGACAGTATTATAATAATTTGAATCTCCGTTTGTTCAGAATTAAGTCGTAGGAAGTTACTAGTCGTCCAGTGTTTATATCAGCTCTGCATTCTGGTAATTTTGAGTTGGTAAGTTTCATCAGGACGTGAAGAAATATAGAGCTGAGTATCATCAGCATAACAGAGAAAACTAATGCCATGCTTCCTGATGATATCAGTGTATGTGTGAGTGTGTGTGTAGCATGTACAGAGTGAACAGGAGCGGTCCTACTACTGAGCCTTGTGGTACGCCATACTGAACGTGTGATCGATAAGACATCTCTTCATTTACTGCTACACACTGATAACGGTCAGATAAGTATGATTTAAACCATGCTAATACAGTTCCACAAACGCCAACATAGTTTTCTAGTCTATTTAAAAGATTGTTGTGGTCAATATTATCAAATCATGGTCATTAGTTTAGTATAATGTCATCAAGTACAAAGTCCCAAGCCTCGAATGAGCAGCAAACATGTAGCGGGTACAGGATCTCCGTATCAGCTGACAGTTAAGCGTTCCCAGCAATCTGTGGAATGGTGGAATAAACACAGGACAACCATATGCGTGTGATCAGCTCCGGTCTTGCTGGGTTGTGTTTACTTCAAAATGTTCACATTAGAACAAACCCAAATGTCCAAAACAAAATACATTTTCATAATAAATTGATTATGCACAATTTCACTGTTTCAGTCTCTTTCTTACAATGACACAATGTTTTCTCAAAGATCTGTCCATCAGCCAATGACTATATTTCTCATTTGTATATTCACATTGTATATTCACATGTTGTTCAATGTTTAATGAAAACACATATTCAAACAAAGTATTCCTGAGTATTTTCCCCATTTTAGACCACTCACATGCATTTCTAAAGTAAAATACACATCTTATTAACTAATATAACAACACATTTAAACATGTTCACCTTCAATTAACTCTGTAATGGAGCATACATACTATCCAATCGCGGGTGGAAATCGCGATTTTCTCTTAAGATTAACCATGTAAATCTTTATCAAAACGAATCAATTTGCGACCATTAATGTTCACTAACATATATTCTCCAAACATCCATAGAGATTGGCATATTAAACAATCAACTAACCTGTGGAATGGTGGAATAAACACAGGACAACCATATGCGTGTGATCAGCTCCGGTCTTGCTGGGTTGTGACGAGCAACGTAGCAGACACTTCGCAACACACTGCACTCACATAGCGCCCTCCACTGGTCTAGCAGAACCACAATCCACTCAATGTATTTTTTACATTCAACAACAATACTACGTTCATCAATTGTGACGAACCAACAATTGGGGCATCACACTCTCCCCACCACAGAAGGTGAACCACTAAACTTTTAATTAAGCATAAGTTTTCAAACATAACCTTAATAAGTTGGAGCCATAAAAGTAATTGGCACTACTCTGTATGGATCATTGGCATAGCCTAACCATGTATGTGCAGTTGTGGGTACCAATGATAGTGACTGAATTGGTTTTGCTGCTACTGTGTTTAGTGTAGGTAATAGTTGGAATGTGGGCTGACCAAGGTATGGGTAAGTCATTCTTTTGGCAGGTTTCCTATCTCTGAGTGACCGTCTAATTGCTCCACAGGGTTCTTGTTGCTGTGACCCTCCCTCTTGGTCCTCAGTCATCTGCTCCTCTCGGGTGTCTCCATATCCTGGCTCCATCCCTTGTTCTGGTCCTGAATTCTCAGCAGGTAAGTAAGTGTCAGTTTGTAGGTAAGTATCACTAGCCATGTACTCTGGTTCTGTTGGCACTTGTTCCAAGGTCCCTCTTGTGCAGGTCATCGGCGAATCATCTCCTTCCCTGATGTAGGATCCATTCATTCCTCGGTGAGTCAGTCTACTCTCTGATTCTTCTGTTCTAGATCTTGAGTATTCTGGAACGCTGGCCCTTCTCCAACAGTAACCTTCCTCCTCTTCAGAGCTAGATTCTCCATCTTCTCCTGCCTGTTCTTTTTGTGTTGCCTTTCTGTTCTGCTGTCTTGTCTCGACACTTCCTTTTTCAGGCACTTCCTGTCTCTTTGGGTCCAAGCTCTCCAATGTTGGTAAGTCATTCACAAGCAGAAGGAGGTTTCGGTGCAGCGTTCTGATCTTACGCCCATCATTTTCAGGATGCACTTTGTATACGAAGTTGTCACCTAATTGCTCCTTTACAACATGAATGTTAGGCTCCCAGTACGAACGCAGCTTTCCTGGACCACCTCTCTGACTCAAATTCCTTACCAGGACACGATCTCCAGGTCTTAGGATGACACAGCTGGCTTTCTGATCATAGTACTCCTTATTGCGAAGACTCATCTGTTGACTGTTTTGTGCTGCAATCCTATAGGCTTCAGCCATCCGCTCTGCCCAATGTTCTGCATACCCGTGAGGAGTAGTGAATCCATCTTCCTGCACCAGCCCAAACAACAAGTCAATGGGGAGTCGGGGATGACGACCATACATCAGGTAAAACGGAGAATACCCCGTAGATTCATGTTTAGTGCAGTTGTAGGCATGGATTGCCTTCTGCAGATGTTCCCTCCAACTCTGTTTATCTTTATCAGTCAATGTCCGCAGCATCTGGAGCAATGTTCTGTTTAGTCTCTCTACAGGGTTGCTTTGGGGGTGGTATGGCGTAGTCCTGGAACGTCCAACTCCAGAGAGCTTCTGTAGGTTGTGGAAGAGAGAGTTTTCAAACTCTGATCACTCTGACCCCTGATCATGATGTAATTTTGCTGGGAATCCGAAACGAGGTATAAAGTCATTGAATATTTTCTCAGCTGCGGTCTTCCCCGATTTGTTCCTGGTAGGGTAAGCCTGTGCAAATCTGGTAAAGTGGTCAATCACCATAAGGATGTACTCATACCCCCCGCGACTGGCCTCGAGGTGCAAGTAATCAATGCATACCAACTCAAGGGGTGCGCTTGATGTGATTCCTCCCATTGGTGCACGCACATGTATTACTGGTTGTTTCTGTGTTATGCATGGACATAGGTGGGTCACATATTCTTCCACACTCCTCCTCATTCCAGGCCAGTAGAACCGCTCTCGAGTTAGCTGTAACACTTTCTCTGACCCGACATGACTCATGTGGTTATGCAGCTGCTGAAGAACCATATGGTGATACTTTGCGGGCAAAACCAGTTGTCGTCTTAGTGTTGTTTTTCTATACAAGATGTTGTTTTCCAGGACCAACCGTTGCCACTCTCTCAATAGCTTCCTAGTTTCGCTAGCGGCCGTGTACCGAACATCAGGGGTCGGAGTCTTCCCAGCTTCCTTCAGTTTGAACACAGGTCCAATCACCTTATCCTCCCGCTGGGCTTTACTTAATTCATCAGCACTGATGGTTGGTGAGAACTGATTGTGTAGTGTGACTGTGTCTGGCGCTGACAAATTTAGAGCTGCCACCCAAGCCACATCTCTATTTTTGGACATCATGTTGCCCTCCCAGGTTGCTTGGATGGCATCTTGTGACAGACTCTCAGTGCACTCGCTTATGTATTGGTCCATGTCCAAGGGACAACGTGACAACAGGTCGGCATCGTTGTTGCTCTTGCCTGGTCTGTATTTGATCTCAAATCGAAAGTCTGCGAGCTCCCCCACCCAACGATAACCAGCTGCATTTAACTTTGCAGAACTCAACACATAAGTGAGAGGGTTATTATCGGTATAGATCGTAAAATACGGGGCATAGAAGAGGTAGTCGCAGAACTTTTCGCACACTGCCCACTTAAGTGCGAGAAACTCCAGCTTGCCTGAATGGAGCCTGTAATTTTTCTCAGCAGGGGACAATGTTCTTGAGCCATATGCAATGACACGTAATTTTCCTTCTTGCCTCTGGTAAAGTACTGCCCCCAGTCCTTGCTCAGATGCATCTGTGTGTAATACAAACGGGATGTCAAAGTCAGGGTATGCGAGCACAGGCGGACTGGTCAGCATGTCAATGAGCGTGTCCAAGCTCTGCTGGTGCTTGTCTTCCTATACAACCGGATGTCGAGAAGGCATCTGCGGACTTTTCTTCCTTTCCTTCTTACTTCCTACTTGTGGTGAAGTTTCTGATGTGCTAGCCTGAAGCAGCTCATAAATGGGTTTCGCCAACCTAGCAAAATCTTGAATGTAGCTTCGATAATAGCTCAAGAAGCCTACAAGGCGGCGGACTTCTCCAACGTTTTGAGGTGTTTTGTCACGGAGAACTCTCACAGCCTCCAGGTCTTTTGGATCCACTCTTACTCCACTTACAGACACCAGACGACCAAGGTACCGGACCTCCTGCTTGAACAACTCACACTTAGCTGGCCTTAGCTTGACTCCATGCTTCCGAAGAGCTCTGAACACAACTCGCAGGTTCTCCACATGCTCTTCAAAGGATTTGGCAAAACACAGTACATCATCCAGGTAGGGCAGACAACATTCATCACGGATGGAATCTAACATCTCTTCCATACTTCGCTGAAAAGCGGCTGGAGCATTTGATAGACCAAAGGGTATCCTTACCCATTCAAATAGGCCCCAAGGGGTCACAAATGCGGTCAAATGCCTTGACCCTTCAGCCATATATCCCTGGTGGTAAGCCTTACCCTGGTCAAGTATGGAGAACCACCGGTAACCGCCCAAAGTGTTCATGAGATCCTGGATCCGTGGCAGAGGATGGCGATCGGGCACGGTTTTCTTGTTTAGCTGTCTGTAATCAATACACAACCGTAGTGTACCATCTTTTTTTCGGACACACACTACTGGGGCAGCATAGGGTGATCGGGATTTTACGATCCAACCCTTGGCAAGCAAGTCCTGGACATACTCTTTTACTTCCTTCATGAGTGGCTTGGGTATTGATGTGTAGGCCTTTTGCACCGGGATATCGTCCTTTACATTCAGGGTCATCTGTAGACTGGGGATGTCCCCAATGTCATCTTCATCACGGGCAAACACAGCAGACTCTTCATAAAGTAGTTGCTTCACAACTGCTTGACTGCTTGATTTCAAATGACTCAAATCTACGGGAGGATGCCACAGTGTGCCACTGTCATCCGGCTGCACTGGCTGAGATGAAATCATTTCCTGTGAGCTGCTTGGGTCAACTTGATCAGTCTGGATAATTTTGCAAATGGTCGCTATTTCCCCAAGTATAGCTCTTTTTGGAATGGTCACCTCACGCTTAGTGTGATTTCCCACTGGAACTTTTATATACGACTGCCCTCCTTTGTGAATCTCAATCAGTCCTTCTCCGAGGTCGAGATGTCCTACAGTTGAAACCTCATCACTTGGCTCAAACAGAACTGCAGGGTAGGAAGTGTTGAAGTTATAAGGCACCCTACATTTCACATTAGCCACCTGGCCAGGACGAATAGTGAAACTTCGCGGTCCTACTCTCACACGAGCTGTGTCTGCATTTACTTTGTCTGCGCGAATGAAGCCAACTGACACCTCAACCGGATCATCTTGGGTACTTCCAGTGTTACTCATCAGGGAATGCAGGGTGGTAAGAATATCTGTACTATCTTTTGGCCCTGTAATTAACTCTGAGATCACATTAAACCCCAAAAGCGGCCTCTCCAACTGCAGCTGACTGACCAGAAATGGAACTTGGATTCCCGTCATGTCCAGGTAAGCTTACGGTTGCTTCAACCCATCCACTAAATGGAATTGCATCGCCACTGATGGCAAATACCTCCAGACCAGCACTGGGTCCCACTATTTCAGATAAGGGGCGAACCTCATGTGTTGGTAGATACTTTTCCCTCCAGTTTTGATCGATAATGCTAACCTGTGCTCCAGTGTCAAGCAGCATGCTTACTTTATGGCCCCCAATTTCCCCATCCAGAAGACACTTCTTCCCAACAAACTGAACAATCTTTTCTTCTGAGTTCTGAGGCTGTCTTTTGTATGGTTCCCTTGCAGTGCTGCGTATGTGACTCCACGACCCAACATTAACTGTATAGTTATGGCTGGGTGACCCTGTCTTGGTGACTGCCGTCTGTGGTGTGCTCTTTGGCCTGGTGCTGGGTGCTGATCTGTTTTGTCTGTTCAGGCAGCCAACATAAAGAAATTGCTGTGGATTTTCGTTTTCTCCTTGGTGTGCACACATCAAATTTTGAAACAGTTCAGTGCTACTCTTATCACCTAAATGAGACTGTAATAGTATTCTTAACTCTTGGACTGTCAAATCCTCTTTTTCCATTAACATCTCCTTGAAATGGCCGGGTTTAGTGATTTTCAGGACCCCTCTAATAATTTCACTCTCTCCAAAATGTTCTTGTAGGCCCTCGTCAATTTGTCGACATAAACTGTTAAAGCTAATCTCTGAGGTGGAGTCACCAATCTGACCTCCATGGATTTTAAACTCTCTCCGTGAGATATATTGGAGTTCTCTCCTGAACACTGGGTCATTGGCATCGGGAGGAGGCGGGTAAGTCTGAAAAGGTTGCTGGGAGGAGCTGGGCTGTGGAGGTATAGCGTAAGGTCCCTTAGCTTGAATTTTTCGGCCAAGCTCCTCATACATTTTCAACATCTGCTGATACTCCGTGTCTCCAGCATATGTGTCTGTGTGTGAGTGACTAGTCTTCGTGTTTGTGTCAGATGTCATGTGATCAGAATGAACCTGTGCTTGGGCTGTACTTGTGACATGAGTTGTTTCTTTTTGTGTTGCTATGTGCTGGGACTGAGTAATTTGTGTAATTTTGTCTCTTAGATCAAGTAATACCGCCATCCCCTCATCTTCCCTTTCCAACAGGTTTCTACCACACAGAAACCCACTAACAAAATCAAAACAGCCCTCCTCATCCCCCAGTTCTACTTGTGATTTTTCCCTCTCATCACTTTGTTCGATGTTTTTAGCGATAAAGAAGAGTTCATCAGCAGACAATTCACAGAGTGCTTTCCTGATTTCCCTCACCAGGCTTCTTCTCTCGTTTGTCATCGTACTGACCTCCATACCACTGCTAACAACAGTCAAACAACAGCAGGCCTTCCATTCAGGAATTCACAATAAGCTGGTCTTCGGATTCTTTTGGATAAGCTCCACTTCTCCAGCAGGTGGCGCTATCCCGGACGAGCCCCCAAGAACTGTAGCGGGTACAGGATCTCCGTATCAGCTGACAGTTAAGCGTTCCCAGCAATCTGTGGAATGGTGGAATAAACACAGGACAACCATATGCGTGTGATCAGCTCCGGTCTTGCTGGGTTGTGTTTACTTCAAAATGTTCACATTAGAACAAACCCAAATGTCCAAAACAAAATACATTTTCATAATAAATTGATTATGCACAATTTCACTGTTTCAGTCTCTTTCTTACAATGACACAATGTTTTCTCAAAGATCTGTCCATCAGCCAATGACTATATTTCTCATTTGTATATTCACATTGTATATTCACATGTTGTTCAATGTTTAATGAAAACACATATTCAAACAAAGTATTCCTGAGTATTTTCCCCATTTTAGACCACTCACATGCATTTCTAAAGTAAAATACACATCTTATTAACTAATATAACAACACATTTAAACATGTTCACCTTCAATTAACTCTGTAATGGAGCATACATACTATCCAATCGCGGGTGGAAATCGCGATTTTCTCTTAAGATTAACCATGTAAATCTTTATCAAAACGAATCAATTTGCGACCATTAATGTTTACTAACATATATTCTCCAAACATCCATAGAGATTGGCATATTAAACAATCAACTAACCTGTGGAATGGTGGAATAAACACAGGACAACCATATGCGTGTGATCAGCTCCGGTCTTGCTGGGTTGTGACGAGCAACGTAGCAGACACTTCGCAACACACTGCACTCACATAGCGCCCTCCACTGGTCTAGCAGAACCACAATCCACTCAATGTATTTTTTACATTCAACAACAATACTACGTTCATCAATTGTGACGAACCAACAATTGGGGCATCACAAACACACTAAAGCAACACGACACACGTGAAAGGTGTAGCAAACGTCTCAAAGAGAGGGGCTTTATTACAGCAGCGCATCACTGAAGGGTTGACGGATGGATGCTGGTGTCGACGAGTGTAGAAACAGTTCTGAAGTCCTGAAGAAAACACTCGGCTTCGCCAGCCGATGACACGTCACATTACACAGCTGTCCTTCACAAGTGTGTTGAACATCCGTTCATGAGACTTACACAACCTCTTAGCAGTTAAACATCCCTCCTTTGCATAGTTAAAACTTCACGCATGAGAAAAATAAAACATTAACAATGAAACCACGACTACAAAAAACATCACTTTCCAAACAGATCTTGAAATACAGCAGGACATGTTTTCCAGGCTCAATAATGCAGGTGAAGAAACCAGCCTGTGGCGTTCTGGTGTCCATCATCCCGAAGGAGCGCTCTGGCCACGGTCTGGTCACGGCATTCAAAATATTAATCATATTAAGCACATTTTAAATAAAAACACATTGACATTTCACTTCTAGGGTTCTGGAAATAGCCTCCACATTTGATACACTTTTCCAACAATGATGATTATTTAGTATATGTGGGTGAATCTTACCAAGGACATGTCTGGGTCGTACTCTCTGGGTTGTAACTGGGAATTTTGCATTGACATTTTTTATAATTAACCACATTCCCCCAAATTATTATTAACCCTCTAGTGCTCACGTGGCCATCTAAAATGACTGAAATGTTGTTGAAAGTTGAAAAAAAAATTTTTTAATTCGAGGTTGATATCTCAAAAATGAGTGCGTGTGGGTGCAGTACCGAACGCTTCCACTGGAGGAGTGAAGCCTCGCATTCGTTTCTAATGAGATCATTTTTGACAGCAAAAAGAACAAGTTTGCCTATTTTTTCCAGGAATATTTAACCTTTTCCAATCGTGTCCATGATTTTTGTGAGTTCACTCAGCAAGTGCCAAAACCGGCAGCAGAGGGTCAATGCTCTTCACTGTCATCAACACACACACACACACACACACGGTCCTAAAAACAGCCTTCATTTATTCATGCAAACTATACTATCTTGATTTTCTGTGGGTTTGATGAGGGTTTAAATGTGAGTTCTTCAGTCTAACTATTGGAAAATATAGAGAGCTTGATCAGTGAAATAAGTCTGACACTGGATATTACAAATACTGTTGTCTCCAAAACATGGCTTTAGTTCTTCTCTTGTGAGTCACTTTGAATAGTGTGTAATGTTAAAGCACGGTGTCTGTTAGCTTCACGTTATCCGTGTTCATGCTAGCGAAGAGGCTGACGTGGTCTTCCTCTTCTCCGGCACGGTTCAGTGATGAGGATGAATCTGCAGCGAGACGAGGCGTTTGACCTGAGCCTCGGCCCGTCCACAGAAGCAGGGCATTGTGGGTCAGCGACCCGGAAAAGATGTGAGCATGGGTTCGATAGACTCACTCCGTGCGAGTTCGTCATCTATTTCAAGATGCCCATTAAAGCGTTCGGACTGGAGATGATGATGATCAGATCAGGAAGTCTACGGTACGAAACTCCCTGCTGGAGCGCGTGCGGGACGGGTCGGGGCAGCGGCTCTCCTGAAGGTCAAGGGTCGCTTCATCTCGGATCAGTGTGACCGACACACACTCAGCCGAATCTCCTGCGCTGCCGTCCTCAGTCTCTGCTGGTGGAGAAGTTCGTCTCTTCTCATCAGGACTTTGTTCTCTTTGTTGCCCCTCCGATCACACGCCACGCCTGGGGACGGGCAAGAAAGAGGCGTCCTGAAACGCAGCCAGCGAGAGAGTGTGTGTGTGTGTGTGTGTGTGTCACTGCGAGGGCTGTGTGTGGCTCTTCTTCTCGCCGCCGCTGAACACCTGCTCGTACGACGGCGGCGGATGGCTACAGTAGGACGGCGGTGGGGGGAACGAACCAATCACGTGTGTCGCCGGGGCCGGCCCGGGGTAGGCAGGGGCCAGGGTCGTCGTCATGGCGACGCAGGGGTCAACGTAGCCTTGCATGCCCGGCTGCTGAGAGACTGTTGGAGAAACATGGGCTGAATTAATGTCAAGGTTTACAAGCACTGTAACATGTGTCACTGGAGATCTACACACACACACACACACACACATCTTTACTAAGTGTGATAATTCACTCTAATGTATGTTCCACACAAGACAATTTGCATGTTAACCCTAACTGTACATTCTCCTTACAAAACTGTTCAACTCGAAACCTAACATTAAGACCAACATTAACATTAAGATCCAACATTAAGACATTTCTGCAAACAAATAAAAATAAGTAGATGCTATCAGAACAAATAGATGAAAATATACACAAGTGTTCATCTTTCAGTTTTATTACCATCCATTCAGAACGGGGAACTAAGGCATAATTCTGTATAGTAGACATGGATGAAGAAAGGATTATAATCTATAATCAAGAATTATAAACAACCTCTAAAGTAATATGTTTGAGTGAGCCTGTGTGTGTGTGTGTGTGCATTCTGCATGGTAAATGTTACATCCATTAATAAAAAATTGCTAAATGCATACCTAAATATAATTTAATCTTAATAGAGATGGAGTCGCTGAAGAAGTGATTAAAGTTAATTAAAAATTAAAATAATGAAGTTTTGAAACTTTACAGAGGATTTCTTTATATTGTAATGTCCCCACTATATCACCAAATTATATGAATATTACAATAGAATTTTTTTTTCCTATTGAACAATTTTTTCTTAACCATTCCAGATGTTTTATTCTTTCTGTCAGCCGTGTGTCGAAGTCCTTAAAAAGTGATTTCTTGAACTCTTTGTGTCAAACAGCGACATTACACACACTCACTACAGTTAGAAAAGTCCAATCACGATCCACCACGGGTCTAACGCATGTGTGTTTGCTTCTGGAGCGTCAGTGAATGAGGCTGCATTTACACTGCAGGTCTTGATGCCCAAATCCCATTTTCTGACTATATCCGATTTATTTGACGACTCGCTTACATAATCTTTAAAAGTGACCCGTATCCGATTTGTGCATTTGCACTATACACTTTTACACATTTACACTCAATATCTCAGCTCAGGAAGGGTCTAGAGACTCCATTTTTGCACCCAGGTCTAAGTCTCATGGCCCTCTATCTGAATCCAGAGTTTTGAGAAGATTGGAGAAACTCAAAATTTCACCCCCCGAAAAAAACTAAAAGGGGTACCACTGTCGTTTTTTTTCGGGGGGCGAAATTTTTAGTTTCTCCAATCTTCTCAAAACTCTGGATTCTGATACTCTGGGCCTCCCTGAGTGCAGTAAAATAGTTTTCATCCCAAAATTTTGAAAGCTAAGCTTAAAAACCACGTGTCCACAAACCCACTATTTTTATAATGGCATAAATGCTCAACGCATTCTCACCCCAAGGCGTCACCTTTGACCATGCTTCAATATTTGACGTTTTAGGCGCCCTTTAGCGTCACTTACATGACGCGATCCTACGGCGTCATCTAACTGACGCTAAAGGAAAGCGTCTGTTAGAGGACGCGGTTAGGTTTAGGTGTGGGGTGGGGGTAGGGTACACGCGATCCTAGGGCGTCATCTTACTGACGCTAAAGGGCGCCTAAAGCGTCAGATATTGAAGCATGTCCAAATGCTTCCCAAGGCGTCAGTTAAGTGACGCCTTGGGGGTGAGAATGGGCTGAAATGCTACGTGGGATCTCAATATCTCAGCTCAGGAAGGGTCTAGAGACTCAATTTTTGCACCCAGGTCTAAGTCTCATGGCCCTCTATCTGAATCCAGAGTTTTGAGAAGATTGGAGAAACTCAAAATTTCGCCCCCCGAAAAAAACTAAAAGGGGTACCACTGTCGTTTTTTTTCGGGGGGCGAAATTTTGAGTTTCTCCAATCCTCTCAAAACTCTGGATTCTGATACTCTGAGCCTCCCTGAGTGCAGTAAAATGGTTTTCATCCCAAAATTTTGAAAGCTAAGCTTAAAAACTATGTGTCCACAAACCCCACTATTTGTCCAATAACCCACTATTTTTATAATGGCATAAATGCTACGTGGGATCTCAATATCTCAGCTCAGGAAGGGTCTAGAGACTCAATTTTTGCACCCAGGTCTAAGTCTCATGGCCCTCTATCAGAATCCAGAGTTTTGAGAAGATTGGAGAAACTCAAAATTTCGCCCCCCGAAAAAAACTAAAAGGGGTACCACTGTCGTTTTTTTTCGGGGGGCGAAATTTTGAGTTTCTCCAATCTTCTCAAAACTCTGGATTCTGATACTCTGGGCCTCCCTGAGTGCAGTAAAATAGTTTTCATCCCAAAATTTTGAAAGCTAAGCTTAAAAACCACGTGTCCACAAACCCCGCTATTTTTCCAATAACCCACTATTTTTATAATGGCATAAATGCTATGTGGGATCTCAATATCTCAGCTCAGGAAGGGTCTAGAGACTCCATTGTTGTACTCAATCTGATCTTCTTGAAACTCTGGATTCAGATAGAGGGCCATGAGACTTAGACCTGAGTGTAAAAATGGAGTCTCTAGACCCTTCCTGAGCTGAGATATTGAGATCCCACATAGCATTTATGCCATTATAAAAATAGTGGGTTCGAGGACGGTGGTATTATGGGACGGCGCTTGGTGCTACGGACCCCGGGGGGCCTGCTGAGTGCAGTAAAATAGTTTTTATCACGACAGGAACTTTAGTTGAAATGTCTATCAAATATACTACCCGAAACCCCATTCACTAGATTGCAGGCCAACATAAAAATGGTATGAAACTCATACAAGTTTTGAACAATATGAGGGTGCGTAAGTGATGACAAATATATATAATAAAAGAGTTATATTAAACAATGTCCTGGCCCTTCCAAGCTTTATATTGGCTGTAAATGCTTGTTTCTGTTTTGAAAGTCCAGAAAAGTGCATCTATCCATGATACAAGTGCATCTATCCATCATAAAAGTGCATCTATCCATGATAAAAGTGCATCTATCCATGATACAAGTGCATCTATCCATCATAAACGTACATCTATCCATGATAAAAGTGCATCTATCCATCATAAAAGTTCATCTATCCATGATAAAAGTGCATCTATCCATCATAAAAGTGCATCTGTCCATTATAAAAGTGCATCTATCCATCATAAAAGTGCATCTATCCATCATAAAAGTGCATCTATCCATGATACAAGTGCATCTATCCATCATAAAAGTGCATCTATCCATCATAAAAGTGCATCTGTCCATCATAAAAGTGCATCTATCCATCATAAAAGTGCATCTATCCATCATAAAAGTGCATCTATCCATGATACAAGTTCATCTATCCATCATAAAAGTGAATCTGTCCCTGATAAAAGTGCATCTATCCATCATAAAAGTGCATCTATCCATGATAAAAGTGCATCTATCCATGATAAAAGTGCATCTATCCATCATAAAAGTGCATCTATCCATCATAAAAGTGCATCTATCCATGATAAAAGTGCATCTATCCATCATAAAAGTTCATCTATCCATGATAAAAGTGCATCTATCCATCATAAAAGTGCATCTGTCCATTATAAAAGTGCATCTATCCATCATAAAAGTGCATCTATCCATGATACAAGTGCATCTATCCATCATAAAAGTTCATCTGTCCATCATAAAAGTGCATCTGTCCATCATAAAAGTTCATCTGTCCATTATAAAAGTGCATCTATCCATCATAAAAGTGCATCTGTCCATTATAAAAGTGCATCTATCCATCATAAAAGTGCATCTATCCATAAAAAATATATATTAATATAAAATATATAAAATATTCATATTTAAGTTGCGCTTTAGATTCAAGTCAAATCCATATGTTCTTTTGGCCGGAAGTTATTTTACTTTATAAAGTTTTAAATATGGATATTTTTCTTACATTGCCATCTTCCTCATTACTCCACATAAAGTCAACATCGGAGATATTTTCATCAGCTATTTGTTCAAGCACTTCAGAACTGTATATTCTGTACATGAAAAAGTTTCAAAAATGTATCGGTACTGTGATATGTATATATATTTTTATAAAAGAAATTTCAATCAGCATCACTGAAAATGTGACTTCAGTAACAGGCTTTCAAACCTACTGTCCATTCTAATGGACGGACACATTTAAAAAAATCCTGATTTAAAACGTGCAATTCTACAGTCGATTTTTAACTTTAATTAATAAGTTCTGTCTTTCTATTTTACATAAAACTATGAAATACTGGCAAAAATATATACAAAATGTAAATACACCTTAGAAAATGTTGCTTGCTTCTGTGTTTGGAGTGAAGTGCTGCCATGCTTCTCTTCAATGTAGTTTTTTTTATTATATAATTAACCCTACATGCAGAGCTTTACTGGCATTTGATTGGATGACAAACGTCTCAAGGACTGCAGGCTTTAAACTAGGTGAAATGCTCCAGAAGTTAAAAAGGGGGGCTGACATGTGATGTCCATTATAATGGACACAGGGTCTGAATGGGTTAAACCCGTGCCTCCATATCTCGTGAAATGTCTTCAAACACAGATTTATTTCGGTAACATCCCTGCATTTTACCAGCACTCTTCGCCTCAACACTCAAGAGACATGAAACCTCTGCATCTGAGTTGACGTCAC